TTCATATTTGCATGTATAATAGAGAAAACATAGATCCAAGGTATTTAGGGTTGTATGTGCACCATAGAATAAAAAAAAATAATAATCGAGTGACCTTTTAAAATAAAAAATAATAATAATAATTGAATGATTTTTTAAAACAAACGTGACAACTTCGTTGTTGGGTTAATATGACATTTATTATTTGCCCAGAGCTAATTATATTATATTATAATATTAAAAAGGCAAAAAAAGGATTTAATGAAACATCGATCCGCTAAGTCTGAACTCGTCTTGGACTTGGAGGACGTCATTGGGCCTTCATTTATAGGTCCGTAAAGTTTTGGGGGCGGGAAGGGAAGGGGGAGGAACATCTTCTGGCTTCTCTGGTACGATTCAAACCTCCGTCTTCGTGTTTTCTGTCCAGAGAAAATGGCTCGAAACAAGGTCAATCTTCATTTCGTTTTCTGTTTATTTTACAGTATTTACACCTGCAGTCAGTTTAATGCTTTGTTGCTGAGCTTTCTAACTTGAACTTTATAAGGTTTCGATCATGATCATTGCAAATATAAGGAAACTCCATATAGTTATAGTTCATCTTTCTTTCCATGGAATCACTGTTTGGTGTCTACTTAGGGCAAAGAAAAATCATAGTTAGTTTTGTTGCTTTTGATTTTTGATTGTTTTCAAATTGTTTTTTGAGAAGTGAACTCATGAACGAGTTGACGCTGCTCTTTGTAATCTCTGCTAAAACGCTGAAATCCGCCTGTATTCTATGTAATTACTAAGTAAATGTTTGCTAGGGCAAAAAAGGCATTATCATGTCAATTGTAATACTAAGCACTTCATCATTGAGTTCAACTAGTTTCAGTCGAGCAGACTGCAGATTCATCATACTTGCTAAAATCTCAAAAGGCCACCAGTTCAACTAGTATTTTGCTGTTAAGCTATTTATAGCCTGAGTTTCATAACTTCTGACCATGTTAATGCTTGTTTAGGGCAAGAAATATCCCAATTGCTGATACTCAAAACAACTTTTATTTGTTTTTGCTTGTTGATTGCATACATTAGTTGGTTTAACAACACCCATTAAATGTTTTTTTTTTCATAACTTTTTTAATATGTTTGATTATTTATGGATCAATTACTGGTTTTTGCTTACAGTTTTAACTGTTGTTGAATATATACAGGAAGCATTGATCTTATTGATTGATGTTGGTCCATCAATGCACAGTGTCTTACCAGAGATTCAAAAAGTTTGTTCTTTGCTAATACAAAAAAAGGTAATTCTTTTCTTCTTTTGTTATAAGGGTTAATCCCATAGGTTTTACATCATTTAACTTGTTTTAATCATCCAATGTTCTATCCTTGCAGCTGGTTTTCAACAAATATGATGAAGTAGGAGTTGTTGTATTTGGAACAAAAGGTAATATCATTTTACTTGACCAAAAGGGTGTCTACTTTTGTAATTTTCTTGTCCATTACCTTATTTAAAATATTTAAAATACCACTTTAAATATACAGATACCGACAATGATTTGATGAAAGAAGTGGGTGGATATGAACATGTCACAGTTTTACAGCCAATCAAAGTGGTTGATGGAGATCTTGTTGATGTTACACAACAACTTCCTCAAGGAACACTTCCTGGAGATTGTATCCTACATTTATCTTTACATTATATATAATCATTTAATATCTACATTATATTTATTGGTTTTTTAAAATTTTCCCATTTGGTACCTTGACCTCTTACAATAGTTATGGATGCGATTGTTGTTGGAATGGATATGCTAATTAAAAAATACCAAGATACAATCAAGGGTAAAAAACGTATCTGTCTCATAACTAATGCCATGTATCCTATTAAAGATCCATATGAAGGTACAAAAGAAGATCAAGTCTACACCATTGCTGAACAAATGGCTGCACATGGTATGAAAATTGATTGTATCATATATAGAGGAGATCAAAACCGGGTCCCACATAATACCACAATTGAAGAAAATGATATGCTGTTGAGTATATTTTCAAAAAAGACAAAAGCAAAAGCAGTTCATGTTGAAAGTTCAACCTCACTATTAGGTGCATTGAGAACGCGTAACCTAGCTCCTGTAACCACATTCAGGGGTGATCTTGAGTTAAGCCCTACATGTAAAATCAAGGTGATTTCATTAACTTTTTTTCTGCCCACTTTTATTTGCTTTTTTCTAGGGCAAATTAAAGAACAAAAATTTGGTTTATTCTTTTACTTGATAATCTTGTTATGATTAGGTTTGGGTATACAAGAAAACATCTGAAGAAAAGTTCCCAACTCTCAAAAAATATTCTGATAAAGCCCCTTCAACAGATAAATTTGCCACTCATGAAATCAAATTAGATTACGAGTATAAAAGTGTTCAAGATCCTAGTAAAGTTGTCCCTCCAGAACAAAGAATAAAAGGCTACAGATATGGCCCACAAGTCATTCCTATCTCATCTGCTGAATTTGAAGCAGCCAAATTCAAACCAGAAAAGGGCGTGAAGCTTTTAGGGTTCACAAATGCTTCAAATGTTATGCGGTATATAACTTCTTTTATTTATTATAATTTATGTTATAATTTATAAACATACGTGACTTTTTATTTTTAATTTTTATAAAGACACTACTACATGAAAGATGTCAACATTATCATTGCTGACCCTGGCAACAAAAAGGCGCTTCTTGCTGTTTCTGCATTAGCAAGGGCAATGAAGGAAATGAACAAAGTTGGAATTTTGAGATGTGTATGGAGACAAGGGCAAGCAAATGTTGTTATAGGTGTTTTAACTCCTAATGTATCTGACAAAGATAATATCGTGAGTAGTCCTCGGTTGTAATTTTTTAACCATGGAAGGGTATTTTTGTCTTTTTTGATGTTTGTGTGGAATGACAGGCGGATTCTTTTTACTTCAATGTCCTTCCTTTTGCTGAAGATGTAAGGGAGTTTGAGTTTCCTTCTTTCAGCAACCTTCCAAAATCACTTCAGCCAAATAAAGAACAGCAAGAAGCTGCAGATAAGTTGGTGATGATGATGGATTTAGCGCCAGCTGGCAAGGAGGAAGCTTTACGCCCGGAGTTCACTCCGAATCCTGTTTTGGAGGTAGAGTTGCAAAAAGTCAAAAACGCCCTTGGTTTATGTAGTGTTTTTGTTGGAATGGAATCGGTCATTCCATTCCGTTGACTTTTCTTTGCTATTTGTGCAGCGTTTCTACCACCATCTTGAACTGAAATCAAAGAATCCAGATGCAGCAGTGCCGCCACTTGATTCAACTCTGAAAAGAATAACAGAACCTGATCATGAAGTAGTATCACAGAACAAGCTTGTAATTGATGAGTTTTGTAGAAATTTTGAAATCAAAGAAAATCCCAAGGTTATTTATTTCATCTTTAATTATAGTTCTTTATTCTAGAAAGTAACATTTAAGAATCCATTTGCAGCTGAAGAAATCGGCTAGGCGCTTACTGAGGGATCAAAAGTCAGGATCTTTTGAAGGGCAAGTTGGTAAAATTGAAGACAAGTTGATGGACATAGTGGGGTCCACGTCAGCAGTGAAGGTGGAGACAATTGGGGAGTTGACAGCTGTACAAGATTTTGAAGCTATGATATCGCGCAGAGATAGCCCTGAGTGGGTTAGCAAAGCTATATTTGGTATGAAAAATAAAGTATTGGATTTGGTGGAGAATTCGTATGAAGGGGATAATTATCCAAAGGCTTTAGAATGTTTGGTTGCTCTCAGAAAGGGATGTGTCATTGAGCAAGTAAGTTTTTTATTATTTCTAAAATTTTTAATAAAATAATTTTTTTATTTAGTTAATCACAATATTGTTTTATTTAATATGTTGTACAGGAACCAAAGCAATTCAACAATTTTTTGCGCCATATTTATAGATTCTGCGAAGAGAAAGATTTAAAAAGTTTCTGTGAGCTTCTTGCTTCAAAAGACATTATGTTTATTACCAAAACAGAGGCTGAAGACAGGTATTCATTTTTAATTTAGTTTTTGTTTATCTGTGTGATTGAGTAAATGTTTATCAATCTCAAACTCATGTAAATTATTTTTTTGGTGATTTGAGCAGTGATATTGCAGAAAAAGATGCTAGAAGCTTGTTTGTGAAAGCAGAGACTTGAATGATGGTGTAAGTTTTATGTTTTTGAAGATGCGTCAACTTTGGGAGTAGAAGATTTAAGGTCTGTAATGAAGCTTTGTGGATTTTGGGCATATATTTATGGTAGAAAAAGTTATTGTGTGTTTTTAATTTTTAATCATAGTGCCTTTAAGGCACCTATTATAAATGAAAGGTGCTAGGATGGATATATTGTTACAGTCTTACAGATAGTATTCACATTTTTAGGATACATCATAGATGACTCATGAAATAAAATAAAAAGGTTAAAAAAAGTAGAGGAAGTGGTTATTGTAAAAAATAAATTGATTCTGTGATCAAAATCAATAGATTAATTGGAAATAAAAAGAACATCCCAGTAGTTCTAAGGGTAATTAAAGTAGAGTTTAGCCATTTCAGTATATACAAATACCAATACAGGCCTTAATTGAGTTTAAAGTTAATTGAGTTTTCAAAGCAGGCGTGATCTATAGACTAGAATATAGTCATAGCATACATTTTCAAATTATTAAATCTTCCTCAAAACATTTATCTTATTGTTGACCTCCCAATTTGCTGTAACTATAGACTAGAATATAGTCATAGCATATATTATTAATTTTTAAATTTAAATATAGATCTCAATGTCCACTTAAATTGGGTTTTAAATTGAAAACCACTCCTCTTAACTCTTTTTGGCATTTAGCATCTCCGATCAAACGTCATATCACTTTTATTATGTAAAAAATAATGCAAAACCACTCCAACCCAACACCATTTTCTACATGAGATTTGGTATTGATGAATAGTATAATATAAATTTGGTGTATTCATTACCACCAAATTTGATAATAAAGTTTCATGTCTTTTGTGGTTCTTCATAAATATATTTAGTTTATTTTAGTTGTTTCAAGTTTGATTTTGTTAATAGAGTTAATTTAGTTGTGTAGTTATATTTTAAAATGTAGCAGTTCTTTGAAATTAATTCAAAATCTTACTTGGTTAAATTTGTTAATAAGACAATTTAAATTTAAGACAATTGTAAAAAACTAAAAAATACAAAGGGTATAATATAGTTGAAATTTTTTGGTGTAAAAAGTGAAAAACGATATTAGGGTAGGAGAGGAGATAGGCTCGAGTAAAACTTGACCCTCGTAACATCTCTATTATAAAACCAGAAACAAAATGTAGCAACACAGCACAAAATATTTTGCTTTCTTGTAAAGCTCAAGCCATAAAGCAAGAGGAGTTGAAAAACAGAATGTACAAATACTAAAATGTGAAGTTAAATTTAAGCCTTTTCGGTTTAGATAGACATGTTTTGGATTTGGAGCATCCTTCGTGTTAGTCCCTCCCAATGTCAAGTGTCAACGACCCATAACATAATAAACCAAAGAAATAAAGAAACAGAGAAAAGCTCATTGAAGAAAAGATGCTTGTAATTAAAATTTAAAAATATGGGCAAAAATTGGGCATTTCAGTAACAAAATATCGCCCATCGGTGCAAATACAAAAATGTAATGTTTCTCAACACTTTATATTCTTACAATAAGAGACCGATAACCCTAACAAGAACAAAACCCTCTGTGTATTGGAAAATTCAACAAGAATGGCGTGATGTAATGTAAGGTATCAGTGGACACTACACAATTCGACATCATATACCAGCCATGAATTTGGAGGCACATTCTCACCCGTTCCTATATACCCCAACCTGCACAACAGCAACATATGAAATATCCATCATACTTACTCATGTCATGCAACAAAACAGAGTTTGATATTTATAATTCAGAACCTTTTACATACCTCATTGATGGTGGAATGGTAAGTCTCCTTTTATCACCAACTCTCATACCTGCAGTGCAAAACACCACCAAATGTAATGTAAGTCATCAACTAATAGTAATATATAGTATTTTTTAATCTAAAAAAGTCATAATAGATTATACATACCATCTACACCAACATTGAGCCCCTCTATAACTTGTTTATCACCCAGTCGAAATTTATAAGAGGATTCCCCATTTGAATCAATAACTTGTCCATTCTCCTTTAACTTCACCACATATTCTACCTTCACCTGTATGGTATGTACCATAACATATTCTTCAATATATTTATATTTATATAATTAATATGAGCACAACGAAAAACTGATTGAAAACGCTTGCCTTTTTCCCAGGAGCAGCTACTTTTCCTTTAGGCTTGTTGCTTGTCACAAGCTCTTCAATAACAAGTCCATTAGACAGTGTCTTTTTGTTATTTTCTTTTTCAACCTCCATATTTGTGTTTTCCTCAACCTCAGTTGTTTTTCGCCTTTTCTTTTTAACTTTCTTCTCCTCTGACTGGTTTCCGTTATCTAACTGCTTAGAATCAATTCCAGAGTTCCTGCATTTCATTCATTGTTCTTGTGTTATACAACTAGAATTTCAAATCATTGTGCATTTAACAATGGTGAAACACAAAAGCATACTTGTCTATTGGCTGTAGATCATCCTCCTGTTTATTTTCTGCAGCCAACATCTCAATTGAATTGCCACGTGCTTTTCTCTTTTTCTTTGGTTTCACACTGTCTTCAGCCATAACTTCCCCAACACCACTGATTTATAAAAACAAAATCATTCACTTTTTGGTACCCTTTTGAGGTCAACACATATACATGTGTTTGAAAAACAAAAAATCCCTTCTACTATAATATTATGCTCAAACTTACATATTATTAGCCTTCTCATCATCTTTAGCAACAAACACATCATCATCATCTTTAACAGCATTCCCCTTCTTGCTCTTTTTCTTCTTTGTTTTCACTTCATTTACAGGAGCTTCCCTGTTCATTACATGAAAAATATCATTTTACAAAGTTAAAAACAAGATTAAACAAAAACACAAAAACAAGATTAAGTAGAGAACAATGCAGGAATACTCACTCATTAGCAACAACCTCAACGACAGGTTTGTCATCAACATTGTTGGGATTTTCCTCATTCTGCTTGATTTTTTCCACTTTAAGACCATTGCTCTCATCAACACAAGGAGGAACAGTATCCTTCTTCACTTTAGAGGACCCTCGTTTATTCTTTTTAGGTTTTGATTTACTTTCAGGCACCACTTCAGCCTCTTTCCTGTTGCAATATATTGTTATTAAGAGATAAATAAGATGATTTTTTTTTGGAGAAAACTATTTAATTGCTCACCCTTCTGGTTTGCCATTTACTAAGTGTACATTAACATCATCCTTTGAATCAAGAACCTGAGAATCCACATACTCATCATCATTGTTTTTTGTCTCTTTGTCCAACTCACTTGTTGTTTCTTTCTTGATTTTCTTTCCTGAATCTTCTGATTTATTGATATTTCGTATGGATGCAACTGGAGAAGCGTTTTTATCATCAATCTCAACGAACACCATTTCATCATCAGATTCAAAAAACTGACACTTCTTTTTGAGTCTTCTACGCCCGCCATTCACATCTCTTTTCTTCTTCTCCATATGCTCTCCATCATCATCATCATCATCATCATCATCTGCTCATTGAAAATCAAATTCATTCGAATGAGAAAGAACTTCATGAATCATTTTCTTGAAGTAACAAATGTATGAATTAAACCTCTGTCACTTGAGATAGGAGAAGGTGTAAGAGCTTCAGGTTCATCATCATTGATAAAACTGTCCTCATATTCATCCTCATCACTATAATGATCAGATTCCTGTGTCTCAGAATTTGCAATGTCCTCTCCATATGATTCTCTTTGCCATCATAGTAAAGGACAAACAACATTATCTCATTTTTTTAGAAGGGGTAAAGAAAAAATTCAATGAACAAAGGATACGAATCATCTTGCACAATTGATTGTCGGCTGTGGCCAACATAGTATCCAGTGAGATATACGCCTCGTGGACCAATAACAGAAAAGATTACATCTTCAGCCTCATCAAATTCCAAATCCAATTGCAATGACTCAGTCTTATCAGGAAGGAGTGCACATAAAAGAACAGGACTTTTATCTCCTACATTGCATTGGACCAGACTCTTTTTTGTTGCAGATCCAGTAGCCAATGTCGCCTAAAATGCAAACAAAAGAAGTAGAATCACATGGAGAATTTCATAGATTAAACACCATTCAACAAGTGTGATGCCTGCTTTGAAATTGATCTCCAAATATCTTAAGATTTGGAGAATCTATCTAAACCTGTGACAAATTCAAATCCTATTGTTCTTGCTTCATAACCTAGATGATCTTATCATATCACATTTAGAATATATTTTATCGCTGTTAGCCTTAGATGATATGATCAACACACTCTTCATTTCATTTTTCCAATTAAATCGGTGAACATACTAACCCTTGGTTCACTATTTTTGTTGGAAGAAGTTTCACAGAGATTAGATGACAACCAAAAGCAGTAGATGACATTAGTAATACTAACACATATCAATTCATATAGAACAGAGATTTCCTGGACCCACTCTCGTCGACCTAGAAGTTTTAAAATGGAATATGTGGATGATCATACTCTTAAGTTCTCCAAAATCGTCAAACATTGTTTTGTTCATTATTGTTATTATTTCATAGCCCAAAAAATCATCGCCATAGAGAAAAAAATCGCCCAATAACACTTCGGTGGAAGATAGAGCATCTACCTGAGATATTCGCAGTCGTCCTCTACCCTCTTTGGATGAATGCGTATACGGCTTTCCAGGTTTCACTTCGATTCCTAACGTATTATAATCGAAACATTAATCGTAAAAACAATATATTAAGGAGAAATTGTGTTCGGTAAACGCAAATCCATGATACACATATGAGAAAACATATGATGCAGTCGGAATTTATACGATCGGAATAAGAACAAAATAACCTAACTACAATGAAATTTGATATGAACTTCCAATAATTTAAGATAGTTTAATCAAGACTGACCCCAGAAAGCCATGATAAGAATTTGGGAATCGAATTGCTAGGGTTTTGAAAAGAACCCCTGTTTCTGTTCCTTCTGTTAAAACCCTTGGCGTTACTAGGGTTTAAATAAGAAGGTTATAAAGTCGGAAAATGGCAGGAATTACGATTTGTTGGGTGGACCACCAATTGCCGACGTGTACGGTTAAGATTAGATGCACGCGACGTATTTTACTTATGCGCGGGAGAATTTAAACGACACTCCAATTAAAAATTTCAACTAAAGTAATTGTAAATTTTTTTTACCGTTTCCAAAAGATTGTATTGAAAGACAATCCTTATGTTATCCGGCATATGTCCCAAGGGGTCCGGTGGTGACGTGGAGCTCGGGCACCCCTCAGACACACCATGTTCGGAATAAAACAGGTCCGTCAGTGGCGGACACAAACATTTTTACTAACAGTAGCACAAAAAAATTTCGTCCAAATATAATAACATAAGTTTTTTTAAGTAATAGTACATTAAACCGAGTATTACAACTTAATATTTAAATTTGACATTTACGAGTACATATTTTTTGGAATTTTTTTTCTCTTCCTGTTGATGGTTCAATTCCAGCTTCACATAGAGGCAAAGATGAGCTTTTTTTTTTTCTTGCTCAGTACGATTGTTCTTATGGCTACACCCATAACTAGAGAATTGGGTATTGGGTTTAAGTGGGCTGTGAGCTAACTTGGTGGTGTGCTTATTTAGCCTTAAAGATTAGAGTTGCATTTATAATTTTTTTGGACAGCAGGTGCACCTATATAAAATAAAATAAAATAAAAATTTACACTTGTGAACAAAATTGGAGCAGTGGCCTGGGACCCCATTTGCTCCATATATGTCCGCCACTGGGTCCGACTGAAGCAGATCAAGTGGACGGGCACCAAGCTCATTTCTCATTTTTCTATCTCGTGTTATCTCTTTATAATGAAGTTTTGAGGTGTTCGGAAAGACTATATCTCATAAGTGTTTGATGATGTAAGGTGGTGAGGTGGTGGTCACATTGTTATAGGGTTGTGGGGTATGTATGTATGTCTTATTTTAAGATTTAAAATATAAATACTTTAGTTTGGAAATAAGTATATTAACTAGTAAATGGTTAATAGTTAGACATTTAAATGATTTAAGAAAAAAGTTAATTGAATATCATTAATTTTATTTAAATACTTGGGTGATGACTCATTTTAAAGTGAGTACTCGTGAGAACACTTTAAAAAAATTGAAAAAAAAAATCTAAAAAAAATACAAATCATAAAATCCAGCATAGATCTATGTCCGGGAGAAAAAAAAATGGAAAATAAAATTGGATAATTATAAATGAATCATGGATCAATTTTAATGATGCAAATTTTTTTTTTCAATTTTTTTCTCCCGGACATAGATCTATGCTCGATTTTATGATTTATATTTTTTATAGATTTTTTTTCAATTTTTTTAAGATGTTCTTACGAGTCCTCACTTTAAAATGAGTCCTCACAGGAACCGGACCCTATA